ATATCATGGTATTTATTTTCATAGGTTTTATTATCTTTTTATATTTTATAAAATACACACTTCTCTGCTTATTTTTATTGAAGACATTTGTAATTCTTGTACATCATGAGAAAGGATTAATTTATGTCTCTATTTAAATATATAGCTTACAACAATGATCAAAAAAAAGAAAGAAAGAAACTTATTGTACTTCTGATGGTCTCTTCCGTGCATGACATGACTCTAGGCTTCTCAATACCTCTTATATGCATCTCTCATATGGATTACAATAAGTCCAGTGAGATAATCTCATCTCAAGATCTTTAATATGATTACAAATGCAGTATCTCTTTTGCTATAAATATCAATAAGTTCCAGGGTTGGGATTTAGATATTTGGGGATTGGAAACATTATAAAGCTTTAAAATAAAATGAAGGCTAAATCATATCATTAATCAAAATAAACAGACTTAGTTTTCTAGTTGAACTACACAGATTATTAAAATTATAAAAAATATATAATTATATTTTATAATTATAAGTTATAATTATAAATTATAAAAAATAAAACTCAAAGATATTACAGATATTCAACAGTAGATATAGTACAAGTACTGTCCAGTTAGGGCAAAAATGTCCACTCATAAACTTGGATTATTCATAACCTTAGGGAATCACACCAACTATCAACCCTACTTCTAGCTATATGCCCTTTTCTTAAGTCACATCTAAAAATGCATGAATACATAAATGTTGAAAATATAAAGTGTAAAAATTTTTATTTTATTATTTTAAAGAGAATAAAACCAAACCAAACAGAATAAATCTAATTGGAGCAGAGCAATGAGAGTGATACAGCACTTTAAAGCAAGATAATAGAAAAACAATGGTGGCTACCAAAAGGTTTCTTGTTTTCTTCAAAATAGCTGTCCATATCATCAGATGTAATAAAAACAAACAAATAAAACCAATCAAAACAAAAGAACAAAAGTATCACAGGACCTCAAAACCAGACAACAGAAAATCAACAATGGCTACCATAATACATCCTATTATCATCAAAATAGTTGCCCATACCATCAGACACAATAAAATCAAACAGAATAAGACAGAATAAATCCAAACCTAACAAAACTATGAAAATACAGGAATTCAAAACAAGATAATAGGAAACTAACAACACCACCTTTCCTTTTCAGATATTTCCTCTCCTATCACTTTCATAATATCTACTGTGCATTTTGGATCCCACTAACTCCTTCAGTTTTTTACACTAGGAAATAATACCACATTCACCCATATAAGTCCAAACCATTTCACCCATGAGCGTGATCTCAAAGTGCATCCATTTACCTACAAGAGCCTCAAGATTATCCTTTATAATTGAATAGCTTTCCATTGTATGAAAATACAATAACTTTCTTATCCATTCTGAAGTTGACTGAGCAAGTTACCCTTGCTTTTTTTCTGGTTTCCTGTCTCATGGAACAAATGTTTTCTCTCCTTTGACTTTCAGTCTATGAATTCCCTTTCAAGTTAAATATGTTTCTTGTATACAGCTATTGATGGATCTTGTTTCTTGATCCACTCTCCCTGTGTTTCTTTATATTAATAAATTGAGGCCATCTACATTAATGATTACAACCAGCTGCATTGGCTCATCTCTGCCATGGATACATTAAACATTAATAAAGTTGGTTATATTATCAGATGAAAGATTTTAAGACAAAACAATCCTTACCAGAGTCACTATGTAATCAGAAAAGGTATAGGAACAGCATTTTTGGCACTTTTATCTTTTAATGTTTTTGTGACTCTGCCACAAAGCTATTTTTTTTTGAGACAGCATCTCATTATGCAGTTCAGACTAATCATGAACTCATTTTTTATCCCAGGCTGGCCTCAAACTCACAGCAATCCTCCTGTCTTGGCTTCCTGTGTGTTGGGATTACAAGTGTGCACCACCATGCCCAGCAAATTTTTTCATCTTGTGCAGGTCTGACTGCTGCTGGTAGTTTGACCAAAGGAATATTATGTGCCTTGGGGGGGTATCCCTATCAATTTGGTGGTGTACCCAGGAGTGTTATTTATTTTTGCTAGTTTCTATGGTTTGTATAAAAAAGAACAAACTTAAAAAAAAAACAAGCTGTCATCATATTGAAGCCATTCTCATTTTGAAATCTCTCATTTCCTACCTTATTACCAGGTTATCTTTCCCAGTAGCTGCAGCATTTCATTTGCCCCTTACCAAATTTCTGCATTTCTAAGGTGTCATCCAAGCTACAGGAGCAGTTCTTCTGCTTAGAAAGCTTTTTTTTTTTATTGTTGGAGAAAAAATTGAAGAGGCTTAACTAAAATTCACTGGTTCAACTGTACTAGGTATCTTTGCTCTACAATTGATATGTTGGCAAAATGAAGGAGAATGACCACATAGTGTGTTCCCTGTACTATATTATAGTTAGCCTAAGGTGTACTGCAATCTAAGACCTGAATGGGAACAAACATTTTACCCCTGCTTATGGTTTCAATAAAGAAGAAAAATGTTTTGTGCAGATGCCAGCAATTATCTTATATGTTTTATTAGAACATAGACAGCCAAGACTATGATTAACATAATAAGGGAAAATGAATAAATCCATATCCTGTTATTACTTCTAGCTCCTAGACATCTATAAAAGTTGTGAGGGGAAGGAGAAACACCAGTAGTCATAATTTATGTCAGCGGCCCCCAGGCCTCATGCATTTGCATTATGCCTTTGTCATTGGTTCACTGTCTAAAGCTTGGATTGATGGTGTCAGTGCTACACCCACATAGGGGTGGAACTAATGTAATGGCAGGAAGAAGGTGTGTCATTCACACTTGCCACTTTCCACCTTACTGTTTGCAGCTGCCATGAACTGCAGCCCTGCCATGCCACCATGCCTTGGAGCCAACTGAGTATGGACTGAAACCTCCAAAATCTGTAAGAAATAAACCTTTCCTTTCCCAACTTTGGTAGTAACTAAGACAGAATTTGGTAACAGGAGGAGGGTCGTTTGCTGTGACTGTTTCTGACCATGTTTTTCAAGAGGCTTTGGAAATGGCTTGTGGGCAGAGTTTGGAAAAAGTTTGGACATGTGGCCTGGATGCATAGAAGTGGAGTGGCTTAGGCTGTTGTGTAGAGAAGATTCTGGTCAGAGCTCAGGAGACCAGAAAGCTGATAGAAAGCCTGATGTTAAAGACCAGGCTTGTGAGGTTTCTGCTGGGAAGGGCTGCATTGGTTGATGGACTCTCCGCACCACACAATGTATGTTATGGCTTGGCAGAAAGTTTGTCTGCATTTTGCTCATACCCAGAGACTTTACCTGAGACTGAAACTAAGGGCAATTGACTGATTAATCTCACAAAGGAAATTACAAGGCAGTCAAAAGTTGATGCTGTGGCATGGCTATTGTTGGGGGCTTTTAGCCAGCTTTATGTTGCAAATCAAGAGCAAGGAGCCTAGCGGGACAATTTTCAACACTGTGAGTTTGGCCAAAAGGAAAACTCCAGTAAAGCTGTGGATTATAAAGACAGAGTTGAGACTTTGGTTGCTGAGAAGAAACAGAGAGATAAAAACAATGGCCACGGGGCATCCCAGGAAGCAGTGAGTCTCTACCCTTTGCAGCCTCAAAACTGCAAAAGTGAAAGAATTTCCTCAGAGAAGAAACCTGCAGAGCACCATGCTCCAGAATGGCGACAGAGGCCACATGAGGTTCCAGAATGGCAGCAACATAGAGAAGCCTTTCTTCACAATCAGGTTCACAGAGCCCAGCGATCCAGGCAATTGACCCCTACAGCCAAGAGACAGAAAAGCCTGGCTACTGCTCCAGCTGGCAACAAACTTTGGCAGCATTCACATGGTGCTGATTTTAGGTGCAAGGAAAATGCACAAATTCTGAGAGTAAGTCGGCTTCTACTTTGGTTGCAAAGGGCCTGGGAGGCCAAGCAATGTGCCCCTAAGAGGGCAATTTGTAAAGATGTAGGGGTGAAGCCAAAGGTGTAGTGGAGACCCCAGAATTTTGGAAAAGCTAGGAATGTGGATCATCTAAGGAAAGCTGCAAAAAGCAAGCAGAGAGGGTTTAAGACAGAAGCTGGGGGAGCTAAAATCCCTGGAAGTGCCATGGGGGTGGAACTACCCAAGCCTTTTGGAGGTTGCAACCAGATTGCTTCAAATGCTGAGCATGGAACTCTATTCTTAATGTTCGCTCTGCTGGATGTTGGACTTGCTTTGAATTCCCCTGTTTGTAACTTTTGGAATGATACTATTTATCTTGTGCCTTTACATTTCAGAAATGTTTAACCTTGTTTCATTTCATCTGGACAGGGGGTTACAGTTAAGAGTTTGCCATAGGTCTTGGAGGAGACTTGGGACTTGGACTTTTCATCAATGCTGAAGCTGTTAGGACTTTGGCAACTCTTGGAGATGGACTGTCTTTTGTATAAAGGATGTACATGAGTCCTGGGGGTGACGGGTGGAATGTCATGGTTTATGTTGGTGACCCCCAGGCCTCATGCATTTGCATTATGCATTTGTCATTGGTTCATTGTCTAGAGCTTGGATTGATGGTGTCAGTGCTACACCCACATAGGGGTGAAACCAGCTTACAATGTAATTGTAGGAAGGTGTGTCTTTCTCTCTTGGCAGCTTCTGCCTTGCTATTTGCAGCCGCCATGAACTGCAGCCCTGCCATGCCACCCTGCCTTGGAGCCAACTGAGTATGGACTGAAACCTCGAAAAACTATAAGAAATAAACCTTTCCTTTCCCAACTTTGGGCATCAGGTATTTTGACTCAGAGAGGAGTAAAAAATAACTAAGACACCAGTCAACTAACTTGTATGAGGAAACACTAATGCTCAAGAAGTATAGCTATAAAACAATTTCATTCTCACTTGTTGCAATAATCACAAGTTACATAAAAATTCAATGTCTTTTTCTCAGATGACAAAGTAAATCTTTTAAATTTTAGAATCATGTTGAATAATTTTTCTGAAGTCTTTTTATATAGAACTGCTGTTTCACCTTATGAGGATGAGTATTAGAGGAAATGATAACAGAAAAGGTACAAACTGACAGAAAGCAAACCCCTATTTCCTGGGTTGAAGGCATAGAAGCCTAGTGAGGAACATAGGGAAATGGACAAACTCGATTTTGGTGATGGTTTCCAAAGCCCATCCAGGTGAACACTTTGGAATACACCTCTATGAAGCAGTATTTTTAAAGAACGATAGAATTACAAGTGCACCTCTTTGTATTCCCTAATGAAACATTATCAATTACCATTAATGGGAGGATGACAACTCAACTGCAGAAATACGAAAACTAGGACAACCGGATAGCATGGCCTCTTTAGAAAATACCTAGTATCATCTTTGAATACTCTTAGCAAAGAAAGAGAAACTAAATATAATCAAGCCTCTACTCTAGAGCTAATGTCTATTTGTTAAAAAAAGAGTAAATGAGTTAAATGTCAGAAGAAAGCAGAGACAAATCCAAAATGTGGTACATTCTGCAGAATGTGACCCAGTTTCTGTGCAAAGCAAAGACATGAAAAGAAGGGGCCACAGGAGTCTGCTCTAGATTCAAACGTAAAAATGGTAAGGGACTTAACTAAGTGTGGTTGTGGAACTGTTGTGATATTAGTAAGCTATGTTAAGGCAACAATTCTCTAGTTATTTTTTTTATTATGGACTGCATATTAGACAATACCAAGGAACTATTTGTGGTTTTGTTAAATGTGTTAGATATAATGTTGTGTAATAAAATGCCCTATTTTGATGTATTTCCAAAGACATGGGAGAAATATTAGCTGAAATTTTTCTTACAATATTTCAAAAATATATTTTAAATAAAATTAAAAAACAAAAATAAGTAAATGTACCAGTCTTGATGATTTAGGTTGATCAGATAAATTTGGCTACTAGATACATATTTTTATATCAATATCAATTTTGTAAATATCTGAAATGGTCAGTTGTAATGAAATTGAACTCTGTAAAAGTGAGAATTAAGCTAGATTATAAAGCTCTCTGAAAGCTTACAGAATATATATACATATACAGACAACTAAATTTTGAATTTTGGCTGATTTTGCTATACAGGTAAAGTATATTTCAATTGGTATTTACTACTTCTAATTGGTATCCTTATCTAAGAATATTTGCAGCATGATGACAGAAGTCAACATGAACTGTCAGAAGCTCAATAATCACTGTTCACAAGAGCATAGCAGTGTCTAACACATGAACTATGCATGTCATAAGTAACACCTGCTCCCATTTTGAGCTTCTACTATATGCCAATGCACTATTCTGAGCCCAATTCTATAATTCATTCTATAAACACACATTACTTCTAATTCATTCTATAATATTAACAGGTTTCTACTACTAACATCACCATATTACAACATTGCAAAATGAGGTTCAGAAAATAAGTTACTCAAGAGCACATTTTCCAGGTATTTCTAAAAAGAACCAGAATCTTTCTGCTACTACACTACCCCTCATAGTAAGACTGCTGCCAAACTATTTCTTGCAAATGTATATGCAATGACTATGCAGATTATGATTCATGCCGAAGAAACAGCAACAACCAATAAGCAGACTATTCATTTTGATATATTTTCAAACTTGTCAAAAATAATCCCTTTGAGGAAGCAGAAAGGTGGGGTGAATAGAGCTTAGTATTTCTTATATATTTTACCAAGATTCAACTTTTAACTCAACTACTTACAACCTAAGAGAAATTCAGCAATTTAATTCCTCTCAATCTGAACTTTGTACTTTACTGCAATGTATACGGTAACAAAAGCTTGTACTAATGAAATAAAATATGAAAAGCCTGTAATCTGTACTGTACCTGCAACATAACTGGTATTTTAAATGCCAGTATTTCTCTTATCTACCTTTTATGACTTGTACCTAACAGCTTAATTTCTATCAGAATTATTCTTTGGATGCTGATCTTCATTAATATTAACAGAACAAATTCTTTATTGCTATTAACAAACACTTTTCTTGGCCCAAGGCATGGTTGCCTTAAATCCCTCCATATACAATTCTTTGTTAATCCAAAGGTACATAAATGTTGAACTGCTAGTTTCAAGAATTGTTAGCAATGGACAGAAGCATATACCTTCTATAAATGTCACTTCAACAGCTGTTTTAGGGAGATTGTTTCATATGTGGATATTTAGACCTTTCCCCACTCGTAAACCTTTTCACTAAGTCAGAAACTCTGCTATGCATTGGTTATATGTAATGACAGCCAAGATAGAATGTCAAAAAAGATTAAAGCCTGACATAATTTGGAGGAATACTTTAAAATTAAATGCTTTTAAATATGTTACAATCTTGGTGTTACGATCTGGTATCTAAGATTTTAATCTACGTTTTAATACAGTACTCTTTGAAAGACTTTTCAGTGTTCTGAGTTAATATTCAGATCATATTCCCATCTCTGGAAAATGTACTCTGAGAGAAGAGAAACATACACTGATTCTATTGTTATGTCCAGAAAGAAAATTAAGATATACCTTTATAGAAAAATATTCATGAATCCTGTTTAGTAATAACTCACTATGATGCTCAATTTGGCCTAAGAGTTAAAAGTAAATCACTTTAAAATAAATCTAGGACATCTACCTCTCTGATCTCTAAAGAAGTACTCATGTTCAAAAGACACTAAATTTTCTACCTTTAATTAGTTGCCGTTTTGAAGTCAACCTTTCACAGCATGAAAGGGATCAGCTCAGAGGAAACCAAATGTGACAAAAATCAAAACACCTGAAATACAAAATGCCACCCTCTTTCCTTTTAAAATTCCCAATCTTTACTGTCATATCCACTCTTAATAAAGTATCTCCATTTTCACAGCTCCAGTAAGCTGGCCACTAGCTGATTACCAGAGGTGAATAAAAACCAGCTCTATGTATCAAGTAAATCTTACAAGTCCTTTCAAAGGGACTCAAGAGACTTGGATATATTATACATTTCCAACTGCTGCCAATATTTATATTTGAAGTCATCACTTACTTGGGATTTAGACAGACCAGAAAGATGTAAAAGCTTTCAGAGTTTCAGGCAGTGGATAGAATAAAAATTGTGCATGGTATGTAGACCAATACCCCCAAAGTGAATTAAGACTCTTGTAGACTTTTACAGATTTAGAAAAGAAAAAGTATCACATGTAGAACTTTAGTTCTGTACCATAGTTGTATGGATTAAGAACTAGGGGTCAACTTAACGCCAGCTGGATTACACCAGATGCTCCACCTGAGGAAAGTTGCCAGGATAAATAGGTGGAGAAGGGAGGTGTTGAGGGTACTGAAGCTTTAATGCGTTGTTGGATTGAGGCATTGTGGGTTCTCCCACGAGTTGCTGTTTGAACCATTGGTTCTCCTGGAGATGCTCTAGTCCTCACATCGAACATTGCTTCCTGGCTCCAGAGGGGAAGACCTGTGCTGCTTGGTCTCCAGGATGAACTTGTCACGCTGCTTCCTGGCATATACCCGACTGTGCTTGTCGTTCGGAGGAGCTCGGGGCTTTTGTGTCGCTGAGGATGGCTGTGGTGCCTTTCAGCATAGCCCTGGTCTTTGTTGTGAGTGTGACTTCTCGTCTCCAGCCAAGAACCCTCATCCCAGCAGCACAACTCCTTCACCCTGCTGGCATGGACTTTCTGGCTTCCACCGCTGACCCTTGGGTCTTCCCGGCACAGATCTGTAAAAGAAACTGGCGTGAGTCCTTCTTGTGGGCTCTGGACCTCCAGGTTGGACTCATGGAAGGCACTATCTTGAGCTCTTGGTTTTTATCTGGACTGATGTGGGACATTGCTGTGGGGTTTAGGCCCTTGACTAAATATTCTATGGGTCTTTGGTTTTGCAGATAGATTTCCTGCACTTTCCTATGTTAACTCCCAGTGACAATTATAAAAATAATATTATAAACTACATGTTCTAATTCTAATTGTTCTCTGCACAACCCCTAAGTACAACAATAGTAAACAAAATGGAGACAAGACATTAAGGCAGAAATTATGAAACACTATATTAAAAGGGCAAATTTTTGAGAAACAACTGATGGAGAAATTTTTAAAACTGTACAGGTTTTATTCATTGAAATGATAGTTGGCATCTTCTGCGGCTGTAAAGGATGATTTCAAATGCTGAATCTGGGAAGACAGCTTAAGAGGCACTAGTTTAGGGGGCATTGAAAAAGATGACCCTGGGAATCTGAATTTTTAATAAGCCCTCCAAGTAATTACCATGTACAAGGTCTGAGAACTATTTTGAGAAGCTATTCAAAACAAGTTTTTAAAAAAAGGAACAAAAGCACTAAGTTGACTTTCAGTGAAACCAAAATTGAGATGAAACCCTAAACTTCAAATAGGTATGGAAGAGCTGCCAAAAGAAGTAGCTATCAAGTTTCATGTTTGAAGAATTGAAATGGGGAACAGGGACAGAGCTCCGAAATAGCCATCACAGTCCACAGCTTGAAACTAAAGAACATGAATATAATTTAAGTTCCTTCTTTACAAAGGAAGAGCAGGGTACATGGTCACCACCAAGAGTTTACCTAAATTGGTTATGGCTCTGAGAAGCAGGGATAATAGGATCCATTATATAAGCTCTATTGCCAACAAGAAGTAGCTGCCAGAGGGAAAATAAACTTTCAGTAGTAGGGAAAAGTTCACAACTGCCCATTTACTTTGACTTGAGAAAAACAAAATTTATATAAATATCCAGAAAAAAAAATTCCATCTAGTCTAGAACAAGGTCTTGGTTCTTCCCCAATTTACTCATCTTACAAAACCTAGTGCAGAAATGTTTACTTTTTTCAGAGATGAGAAACTAAAAAGAAAGCAAAAATCTATTAGAAGGTATTATAAGAAATAGAAAAAGAACCTTCACTAGTAGCTTTTGGCTAAAAGTCAGATAAAAATTATCATTTAGCCCCTCCCCCACACCACAGGACCCAGCAAATAGCCAGGAAAAATCCAGGCTCAGCAACTGGCCCCACTGGAGGAATCCAGGTGACTTGTCCCGTCTCTCACATCAGTGGGACCAAGTCACAGTCACAGAGTAGGACCCTGATTAATGAATTAATTAATTCACAATGCAATGGACAGGTTAGATACTATGATGAAAAGTGCCAAATGAGAGCCAATAGGTGCTAAGTTAGGTGAGACAGCATTGTCACTGTGCTTAGGGACAAAGACACACAGGATAGAAGCAGGTGGGTGGGGTCATTCCCTCCGCCTTTTAATTTAATTTTAGCTTGTTTTATTTTTGTTTTTATCTTGCTTTTCCTTTCCCTTTTTAAAAAATGTTTTTTCTTGTTCCTTTTTTTTCCTCTTTTTAAATGGCTGGGGAGAATGCTGGGCACAGGAAACTAATTCCATCCCCCAAACTCAGAGACCAAGTTCACAGTCCTTTAACTACTCCTTCATCCCTTCCATCTTCTTTTTCTAGTTTCCCAAATCTTGTGGGATCATCCTTTGTCCTCCAGTCTTGCTTGTACTTCCTTTCTAGTTATCTTGTTTTATACACTATCTTCCCGAAGTTTCTCTACCATAGGGGAAAACCACCCTACCAAGGGGAAATACTTTGCATACAAACTCCTAATTTGTGATTGGTTCAGTCATATAACTATAGACTCTGCTCCTATGATCTACAGTACAAAATCAATAATTACCACAGTTTGTCAATTTCTAAGCTGTGCTTGGTGCTATTGTTATTAATTATACTACCTTGGCTAGGCTATCATATCTGTTTTGTTTGTTTTTGATTTTGGTACTAGCAATCAAACTCATGACCTCATGCTTGCCAGGTAGGTGCTGTGATATTGAGTTGTTTCCCCAGGCTTAGGATGTCATATCTGTTGCCATCAGGTGTTCATCCTTCTGTAACAATACAGGGAAGCTCTGGGTTAATAACCTCACAACAGTCCTATGCCAAAGGACTGGAAACTGAGCCAAACAGATACATACATCTCACTCTTAACTGGGAAGATAGGACCCTGGGGACTGACACAAACCAAGAACCTCATAAACACAGAAGACACCCCCAAAGAACAGACTTTTCCCAGAGAAGCCTCAATACTAGTCATGTAGCTAGCTACTACAAAACTCACAAGGATCACCACAGAAAACAACTAAAACATTTTTTTAAACATAAAATAAGATGCAGAAGCAAAATGCAATCTCAGACCTCCAGCCCACCCAAAACAAGTCCAGGAGACATCAACATAAAAGAAATTGGAAGATAGATACCTGAAATTTCTGAAATGATGGCAACTAAAGTAAAGAAATTCTTGAGGCCGTAGAAGAAATCGAATCAGAAATAATCTCTCAGGTTAAAAAAATGACACTATAATTAAGGACTTGCTTAACACATCTAGAGTAAACATGGATAAAAAATACAGTAAGACTGCAAAATGATGGAAACCTTGAATGAGCAATATAGGAAAGAAATAGAATAAATAAAACAGAATCAGAGATATTCAAGTTAGATATCCTATTCAATATAGTTCTGAAACATTAGCCAGAACAATTAGACAAGAAAAATAAAAGGAATAAGTACAGGAAAGGGAGAAGTTAAATAATCATTACTCATAGAGGACATGATATTCTACAAAGAAGGCCCCGAAAACTCCAGGCCTCTAGATGTAAAAACTAAATTCAGTAGCATAGCTGGATGCAAAGTCAGCACTCAAACATCAGTAGCATTCCTGTACATAAACAATAAACTTGCTGAAAGAAAAATTAGGAAATCAATACCCTTCACAATAGCTTCTGAAAAAATGAAATACTTAGGAATGCATCTAACAAAGGAAGTAAAAGACCTACATATTGAAAATTAAAGTACTCTGAAAAAGATCAAAGAGGATATCAGAGAATGGAAAGATATCCGTTGCTCATGGAAAGGAAGAAGCAACATAGTGAAAATGGCCATACTCCCCAAACTGTTATACAGATTTAATGTAATCTTGATAAAAAACATCATTAGTATACCTCATAGATATAGAAACAAACATTCCTAAAATTCATTTGGAAACAAAAGAGACTTAGAATAACAAAGGCAATCCTAGGCAACAAAGGCAAGGCAGCGAGTAGCACAATTACTGACTTGATATTATACTACAAAGCTACTGTGATAAAATCAACATAGTACTGTCAAAAAAAAAAAAATACTGACCTAAGGATCACTGGAACAGATTAGAAGATGAAAACACAACTATCCCACAATCTGCTATCTTATCATTGACAAAGTGGCCAAACATGTTCACTGGAAGAAAGACAGCCTCTTTAATAAATGATGTTCAAAAACTGGCTTTCTAGACTATAACTAGACCCATGTCCATCACCATGCACTGAAGTCAAAATGGATCAAAGATCCAAATATTAAAACAGAAACACTTATCCACTGGAAAAGAAAATAGGTAAAAATCGTGAAGACATACATGTAGGCAGAGTTCATGAACAAAACTCAAACTGCATAGAAAGTACTTCAAAGAATCAACAACTGGGATCTCATCTCATTAAAAAAGTTTTTGTACATCAAAAAAAAATTACCAACAGAGTGAAGAGACAAGCCGCAATGTGGGGGAAAAAATGTAACCCCACTGTTCCTCAAACAAAGGATTACTATTGAGCACATACTAAGTCAAAAAATTCAGATCTCTCACAAAAATGGGAATCCAAGATGAATACACACTTCTCAGATGAAAACACACAAACAGCAAATAAATAAACATATTAAAAATGTTCAACAGTACTGGTTTTTTGAGAAATGCAAATTAAAACAACACGGAGATTTCATCTCACCACCGAAAGAATGACTATCATCAAGCAACCAACCAATAACAAATGCTAGAAGGACTATGGGGGAAAAGGAAACCTTCTCTACTATTGATGGGAGTGTAGACAGTGCAACCACTGTGCTAACCAATATGCAGATTCCTCAAAAACTAGAAGCATAGGTCCCATTCAACCCAGCTATTCCCTTTCTTGGTATTTTCCAAGAAGAATTAAAAAACATTGCACCACAGCAAAATGTGTGCGCCCATGTTTATAGCAGCACAATTTATAATAGCTACATCTTGTAAATAACCCAAATGCCCATCAACTAAGGAATCAATTTTAAAAATGTGGCATTTTTACACAACTGAGTACTACTCAGCTATAAAGAAGCACAAATGAAGGCTTTTATAGGCAAATGGATACAATTTGAGACCATACTCATAAGTGAAATAGATCAGTCTCACTTGTGTAAAATCATATTGTTTCCCTAGTGTAACAAACTGAAAGTAAATAAGATCCAAAATGTATAATAGATATGTGAAGTGGTAAGAGACTGTTCAAAAGGAAAGCACAACTGGGACAGGGGAAAGGAGAAAATGGAAGAGGAAAAAATGAATACAAACACAAGAGAGCTAAGATAATTATACTATTAATTTCTATTAATTTTTCATTGAAAAAAGTTTTTGCTTATATTGTTTTATCAATTTTTCATACTGTTATGATAAGAATATACAATATCACTGTTAAACTATTATTTTGAAATTCTGTATAATTGTGATTTTGTTTTTTCTCTTTAAAAAAAATTGTCATCCAAACTTTTATCACTAAATTTTAAAACTGAGGAGAACAATTACCTCTGTTACACAATATCACAATATAGATGAAAGATCTCAAAGTCTAGATAGGAGAAAAACTAAGA